CAAAGGCAGCCTGAGCCATCAGGAATTGTGCAGTGGTCAGAATGCTGCTGTGTTTCTCAGCTGGTTGTGTAGCTGGAGGTGTGAGTAGCTGCAGCCTGGTTTGAAGGGAGTACAGCTGCCCAGCCCCTCTGGCTGCACAGGGGCCAGCACCCAGGCTGCTCCGGGTTGGCTCTGCTGACCAGCTGGTTTGGGGCCTTGCCCACCTCTTCTCTCCTCGGTGGCTTCCCACCAGCCTTGTCCAGGCAGAGGATGAGGCTTAGGAGGATCAGGCTCCCACTGAACCATTCCCAGCATCCAGCAGCCATTGGGTCTGGGCTTTTGTTCTCTTTATCTGAAAAGGCCATGTTGGTGGGTGGTCCTGACACCCTCATGTTCCAAAGCTGCTTGGCATTTGACATTTCTTTCGTTTCTTTGACTGCATTTGTTTTTTTTTGTTCTTCTTTACTTATGCACTCTTTGCTTGAAGGAATGATCCTGGTTTGTGCTGTAGGAGCTGCTGCCCAAACTGCCTTGGACAATTTAAAATTGCAGAAGCGCTCCTGATGGAAACAACAGGGTGCTGAGATGTGCTCACTTATCCTGGCACTACCATGTTGCAGGTCCCACTGACCTGAGAGAGTGTTGAGACCCTGGCAAAATGCCCAGAGTGTCTGCCCCATCCCTGGAAGTATCCAARGCCAGGCTGGATGGGGCTTGAAACAGCATGGATAAGTGGAAGATGTCCCTGCCCATGGCAGGGGATGGAATGGGATGAATGAGTCCTTAARCCCAAACCRTTCTATGATTCCATGAAAGCAACACTGCYCAAAATGTGATGGATGTGGGAGTCTCAGCACTCCTTCGTGATGCTGAACCTTTGCATGTTGTTAATTRCATATGCTGAAAAATCAGTTTTACCTACAAAACGGACCAGAGTAAAATGAAGGAAGTGGGTAGGAGTGAGCTTGAGATATCTACTGTAACAGAAGTGTGAGCAGAGAGCTTATTTGAACATGAGTGTGTAAACACAGAAATAAGCTCGCTTCTATTACCTTTTTGCTCTCCTTAATTGCAAAATGGAAATTACATATTAATGGGAAAACAAGCTTTTCTAAAAAAAATTTTTTTTCAAATGTTTAATGGTGACCTGTGAGAATCATCAGATATTGGGTTCCCTCTATCACAATTTAAAAAAGMTTTTTATCAATAGAAACCCAGAATGTTTTATGTGGAATATTTTCATTTGGAAATGCTAACATGAGGCAAGTGCCAGAACCACATATTAACAAACTGCATTTTTTTTTTGTCAGATAATGTGCTGTGACAGATACATTCCTTAGGTAACTCCAAGTTTCATTCTGTGCAGTGGTCCAGCTGTTCCTCTCTGTGCCGGACCTAGTGGAACAGTCCTGTGGCTGCAGTTCAGTTGCTGCCGGTTGCCATCAGAATTTGGGGTGTGAAGCTCCCAGGGCAGTCATGGCTAAGCCTGGCCCTTCCACCGGGGTGGTCCTGGCTGTGATGGGTGTGCAGAGGGCTGTGTTGTGGTGCATGTGGTGTGTGCCASCCCTGAACTGGCAAAGCTTCCCCCAGGGAGTAGCTTCACAGAGCCACAGCTGTGTGTTGGGAGGCAGACGGGTCTGCAGGAGCTTCCCAGCATCTCYGCAGCAGCACAGCTGGGACCTCAGACCATCTCTGCAGTTTCAAGAGCCTGGACCTCCCCCTGCTCTTTTACTGTTCATCTGATGCCACGTTTAATTTCTTAAAAAGCCATGCCAGGATCTGGATTTTTTCATAGTAGGATCAGATCCTGGAAGCCATTTGTTGCTTTAAAAACCCAGGCCTGTCAGGACTCATGGCCAGCTCTGCAAAAGAGCAAAAGCATGGTAGCGAGGAGACCAGTGCCAGGGCCAGATAGTTTCACTCTGTGCARGATGCACTGTGACATCTGCTTTATTTCATCTTTCACTTCAAGCTGTTTTCTTCTGCTTTTTAACACAGTGAGCTCTTCCCAGAGCTCTTCCGTGAGATTGCTGTGGATGCTTAMCATCATGTCTGTGATTTCTGGAACACCAATTTCCAGGGTGTACTTCTGTAGGAAAAGTCTTGCAGGAGTTATATAAGTGTGTTTATTTTCTACAGGGTTGATAATGTTTTGTTGCTTTCTGGCATCTAATTATTCCAGCGTGTTTTAGTGATATTAAATAGCCAACAATAAGCAAKGCAAGGGGGTGAGTTAAGTGTGTCTGGGAATAAAGAGGTGAAGGCATGGATCACTCTCTGCACAGACAGCAAGTGGCAGCCTTGCTTCCAGGTAATTACTTCTATAATTTAGATCATTTTGRTAGAGACTTATGCAATGTATTTGCTTTTTAGTCACTGTTTTGCTGTGGAAGGAGCACAGGAAATGTTTACCAGGCAGGCGTGCCTAGGTTGCTCTCTCATTTCTGTTTTCTTATCAGGCAAACATAAGCCCACAGYTTGCTGACAGCAAAACCATATGGTTCCCCTTTTTCACAAATCGATTTTGCAATACAGATAATCCTGGCTGTATATATTTTGGATTATTTTAATTCTTGCATTACTCTATTTTTCTCTGCCTGGAAATTATGTATGGCTATTTCTGAACCCAGAGGTTGGGGTGAATTAAGATTTTATGGAGGMTGGTGCACTTCAGTGTCTTTTCTTTGAGGACAGTTATTTGTCATATATAACCCATCTTTTGTAGCCAATGCTGTTCTGTGCTGCCAGATTGCAGCATCAGATTCAGAGATTTTCAGAACACTGGATATCCTCTCAGTGTGAGGCCAAGCTGAGAAATGCATTTGTATAAATCAGCTCTTKCTTTACAGGAAGGTGCAGAAGTAGCTGCAGGAACTTGAATCATAGAACGTAGAATCACAGGAGATTTTGATTTGGAAGGAACCGTAAAGCCCATCCAGTGCCACCCCCTGCCCTGGGCAAGGGACACCTCCCACTGTCCCAGGTGGCTCCAAGCCCCAATGTCCAGCCTGGCCTTGGGCACTGCCAGGGATCCAGGGGCAGCCACAGCTTCTCTGGGCACCCTGTGCCAGGGCCTCCCCACCCTCCCAGGGAACAATTCCTGCCCAATACCCCATCTAAATCTACTCTTCTTCAGCCATTCGCTGTCCTGGCACTCCTTGTCCCAAGCCCCTCTCCAGCTCTCCTGGAGCCCCTTTAGGCACTGGAAGGAGCTCTAAAGTCTCCCCAGAGCCTTCTCTTCTCCAGGCTGAATAATGCCAGTGCTTCCACCCTGTCTCCAGAGCAGAGGGTCTCCAGCACAAAAATTAATATCTATATGTAAAATCTTTTTTTGCAGTTTTGGGACCATCACAGAGTGATTAAAATTAAAAAAACAAACAAGCAAACAAAAACAAAACAAACAAACAAACAAACAAACAAAAAAAACCAGAAGCCCAAACTCATAACACTCAATCTGGAATGAGGAGGAAGATTATCCAATGCATCCTGTGTGTTCCTGGAATGGGATGTGGGTAGAAAGGACAAAAGATGAAGAGAAACCAGTCCTCTAGAAAAATTTGCTCCTGTTGAGGCCAATTGCTGCCATAACAAGTGATTGAAAGAAGTGGCAAAACAAACAGAAATAATCTGAATGGAATTAAAGAGTTATGGTTTTGGAAGCTAGTGCTTGGTACATGTTTACTCTGTAGATTAGCCCAGTAATTGTCACTGGAACTTTCGTTTGGTCTTTTGCTGAGATTGCTTTGGGTTTGYTTTCCAGGAACAGGGTGTTAAAGAGCATGAGTTGGAGATTGATAGGTGGGAAGCCTGCCTGCTGTGGTGGGATCCAGGAGCTTCACTACCATTTAATGACATGGAGAGAGTTTTAGGATTAAAAATAAAATAGATTTGCTAACAACTTGGTTCTGTCAGAACGTTTTTAAGGAGGCAGTAATTTCTTTTTGCCTGTCGATGTGGGAAGCATATTTTTCCCCTTCAAATGTTTTTGTGTTTCATCACAGTGCTTGCAGCACTATGCCTCTGAGGTTTCTCAAGTGATTTGGAAATCCAGTGAAAGATAGGGAACTTGGGCTCTAATGCAGAAGCAGTGCTGGTATTTTGTAAATGTTAAAAKAGTTTCCAGATTCTGTCAATGCATTGTACAGACCCAGAAAATGTATTTGTTACCTTTGAAGTTACCTAGATGTTATATGTTGTCTTAATGACCTGACATTAACATTTTTGTTTAAAATGACTGTGAACAGGGAATATGACAATAGAACTTGGTGTATGAAGTTAGTGGSTGACATTAGATGGCCAAGGGGAGARCAGCTCCATGGCTCAAAGAGCAGCTCTGTTAACAACAAAGAAAAGCTGCATGAACAAAAATGTATGAAAAATTAATGATCTACTGTAAAGCAGAGTTTGTCACTTGAGAAGGGAGGTAAGTTATATGTGTGTGTCTTTCTATGSCCCTCCCTGTGGTTTTAACCTTCTTGGCCCCTTTCAGCCAAGCCAAACAGAGGTGCAGTACTTATAAAGAAAGGAAATTTTGATCGGATCATGCCAAAATGCTACCAAGTAGTCTGAAATGTGTGATCAGTACACTAGATCTGGGAAATTTGCATGGGGGAAGATGTGTAATGAATACTCCCAGTGTGGAAGATGACGGCCTGAGTACTAAATTCAACAGAATCCAACAAGACAGGATCCCTATCCCTAGGCRACCATGCCATTCAGAAATTACTCATTTTTAGTATTTTTAGTGTTTTAGTATTCAACATGCACCAGTCTGAGCAGATTGTGTCACAGCATGAATTGCTTTGTGCTGGGAGTCGGGGCAGAGGAGCTGTTGAATGGCACTGACCCACTGTTGGCCGTGGGCTGGTGCTGGGCAGAGCAGCCAGCATCGGCCACCCCGGGGTCTGGTATTTGTTTTGACCATTAAGTGGGACTGATTTAAAGTCTGGTATCAATAAAACCKCAGTGGCCCTTGGCTCTTGGCTGCGGTGCTGCATTGTGTGTCTGTGTTTGCTCTGCAGGGCAGTGCAGCCGCCTCCTCCCACCCCAGCTGGGCTCACTGCAGGTCCTTCATGGCAACGGCACCGATGTGGGGACAGTGCTCACATTCCAGTGCTCTGCCGACCACCAGCTGGAGGGACCAGCCTTCATCACCTGCGTCTGGAAAGGGAACAGCACGCAGTGGACAGCCGCAGTGCCCTCCTGCAAGCGTAAGGTTCTTCCCAAACCSTTCCACTCCCTTTGGGATGCGTTGCATTGATTTTGCCCTGCCTGTCTCTGCAACGTTAGGATTCATTCRAGATACCTGTGTAAAAGACAAATTTGATTTTCCTCAAAGTTGCCCCACTGATGGCAATTGCACTCCATCTATGTTCTGACATGTGATTATCATGACACAGAAAAGACTCCATTGGATCTGTCCCTGATCTCATGTCGCCAGTAGCATTGTACCTGGAATAACTGTGGCTTTAGCTAAAAGCTGTATGCTTCTTTAGAGAATGCATGGCAATGACCRACTGATGTGCATGCATATTTGCACATGCCGAATCTCCTGGCAGTCTTTTCTGACAAGTTTTTGCTGTAAWAGGAACACAGTGACATTTTTTTAACAATTCTTGGCTGTTTCCTGTGGGTAGCTGCATATAGRGAAATAGTGTCTGAATGGCAACAAGCATTAACTATCTTTCACACTGTGTTCCTGCTTGTTTATTATAAGGTTGTTGCTGGTTTGACTAGAAGTAAACCCAAGCAAAACTTGGTACCTCTGAGCTTTGAGCACRTGAGTTTGTGCCTCAGACCTTGTGTCATTGCAAATCCCCAGTGGATACGTTGGTCTTACAGATATTTAGTTCTCTCTCACGCACTCAGCTATTCTTACCTCTTGTTTCGAGATCCCATTAAAGAAAAACCCTTTCCCCAGAGTCTGCAGAAATGTCATGCTTTGTGGAGCTCAGCTGAACCATTTGTGATGCTGGTCATTGTGACACAGGGAGACCTAGATGAGTTTTTAAGCAAGACAWGCTTACTTGCTCCAAGTGAGTTGGCAGAGATGTGTGTGCCACACCACATTCACACTCCTCCTTTTTTCTGGAGGGCTCACTTCCAGCACCAGATCCCTGTGAATACTCAGCTCTGTAGATCACTTCYGTCCTGCATCCTTCCCCAAACAGAGAAGACCTGTTGTTTGCTGCTTGCCAAAGAGGATGTAATTACATGGAACTGTCCTTGCTCTAAAGGGCTTCTTCTAAGCCTGTTTACCCCTGTTAGTATTCAATTAGYCCATGTTAGTAGTCTGCAGCTCATCTGCATTTGATCTGCCTACAAGAGCTTTGCTTTTTGGCTACTGCAGGGCTAAGGGCTCTGCGCTTAATTAATTGCAATGGTGAAATGCTTGTGAACAATTCATTAGTAACTTACAAACAGGACATTTTTAAGTAGTCTAATTTGAGGATTGCATAGCTCTAAGCCGAAACCAAGATACTCTGTTATCTTGATGCATACTAATATGAAAGTCCTCACTGAGCACAAGTGTGAAGCAGGTAGGTTTCAGCATGGTTTAATGAAAATGTAAAAGATAAAATTGTGGACTGATCTTAGAAACATGTTTCTATGTTTGCTTTGCTGCAGCCATATCAAAATACGAGACTTTTGGCTTTAAGATTGCAGTGATTGCCTCCATTGTGAGCTGTGCTGTCATTCTGCTGATGTCCATGGCTTTCTTGACTTGCTGTCTGATCAAGTGTGTGAAGAAAAGTGAGAGGAGGAGAACTCAAAGGTATGTCAAGAAGACATTTTTAATAACAGTGTGAGAATGCACATCATACAGACCCCATCACTGTGATAGCAGAGAGCTTCAAAGGATTTGCTGCTTGCAGCACTGAAATGATGTTAATTACTTAAAATCCTTAATTTGTAGGTCATGGTTTAGGCTGGGTATTCCAGAGTATTAGACTTGGTATTCCAGAGTATTTAAGTACCTGATGTCTGTTAATCTCAGATAACCTCCACAGGTCTGGGCAGGTCTGGATTTACCCAGGATTATGCAGAAGCTGAACACACAAGTCTAATTTTCTGGCCCAGCATTTCTCTCTTTAAGTTATTGAAGATTGGCAGTATTTCCCCTTCTTCTCTATTTCTTTCCTTTTTTCCTTTCTTTCTTTGAACGCTGCTGGGAAATGGAGTCTTCCTGTGTCAGAGCCATTCAAGCCCTCACCATCTGCAGAACTTCCTCAGAGCTGTTACAGTGTGAGACTGGAAGGATGGAGGATTTTTGTCTTCTGGCTTGGAGCACAAATTGGTGGATTATAAACAGGAATGGGAAGAAGTCAAATTTTCAATCCAGTCCATTATAAAAATGCAATAGTGGGTAGTGTCAGCAGGATCACGTTTGCCTGTAGGCTGGAGCTGAGCTGCTGTTGCTCACARGAGTCACTGCTGCAGAGGTTTCCATGGGAACTTTGTCTCCCTCTTGTTTTTCTTGCTAGTTATTCCCACCAGGCCCTCCAGTGGTCTGGAGGGAGACTGGGGAAGACATAGTGAAGGTGTCTATGCTGAGCTGTGCTTTATCTGAAACTTCATGGGAACCAGCTGAAAGGGAACTTCTGTCATTTGAAATCTGAGTGTAGCCAAAATAGAGATTTTTTTATTTCCCTTGAAAGGAATTTTTGAGTCAAAAATTGAAAGTCTTTAGTGTCAATCATAATATTAGGTTTTTACTAGAAGCATGAAATAAATTGTTTTGAAATGAAAGGGTTGATTGACATTTTTGAAATTGCCACTTTTCTTTTGATAAGATTATTCATGTCTAAGTCCTTGTTTTTTCGTTTATTTTCAATGAATTTTGCAAAAATTAACCATTCCCACTTTTGTGATGACTTGAAATTTTTTCTTACAAAAGAGAAACCATTCACACTGGACATTATGACCTGATTCTGTCATCAGGCTGTAAAATTATTCCTTTTGCAGAGAGCTTCTCTGTTCCCTGCTGCCCTTGTGCTCCTTTCCCTGTCTCCTGAAGGAGCTGCTCCATCCRGTTGGCAACAGAGCCTAGCTCCGAGGAGAAACCTGGGGACATTTCAGACATTGTGTGTCTTATCCCCTCTGTCAGAAAGAATTGAARTGATGTACAAACTGTCCATGTCATGGGAGGAAAAGTAACATTCACCCTTGTGTGAAACTTGTTGGATGCAGTGGCAGCATCTCTCTTGGTGATGGAGGTGGAAAAGTGGATCGACTTCTGGATGCACAAATCTGACAAAAAGCTKCAGGCTGGATAACTTAATACAAAATGACAACTCCTGGTGGAAAAACAGTGAAATGAGGGTCTCTTAGACCATATCTGAGAGACAGGGTGGTCTGTACCTACAGGGCACAGAGGATGTCCTCACCTTGCCTTTAGCTCTGAAGTTTGCCTGWCTGCTTCTTTTGGCTCCTTTAGTTGGTCACACTAGAGAATCACCTCTGCCTACAAACCTGTCTTGTGAGGTGTCTAATATCTTTTAAGGACCRTCCTGTGTTTGTTTAATAGAATTACATAATCATCAGGATTGGAAAAGACTGTTAAGTAAAACTGTCAACACAGCACCACCRCCATGTCCACAACTAAACAATGGCACCAAAATCATCATCGCTAGCTCTCAGGATTTAATCTTGTCCCTTCAGCCAGTGAGAATGTCTGTGATTCTGTGAATCTTAGACTTCTTTTAAAAACAAGAAAAGAAATTGTGAATTTTTTTCTTGCCTCAGAGTTGCAGAGATATGCATGAAAACAGCCCTGAGCATTTCCAAAAGACAACCCTGACAATGAGGCTCTACTCTTAACAAAGGCAACATTACCTGTCTCCTTCATTTTTAAGTCAATATCTTTTCTACCTGCCTGGTGATTTTGGAAACCTTAGGAATAGCAGTGCTGCAAAAAGTTACAGCAATTTTTTTTCTGAAATAATTTATTCCTAAAATTGAGATGGTCTGTAGTCCTTTCACACACAACAAGATATGGTCCAGTGTCACTGATGAAGGTCCATGAGAACACTAACACATCATCCCAYCTTATGTGACTTTTCTCATTACCTGTAGTCTGAAAAAACACYAAATCAAAATGGACATAATTCTTGGAGGTTTGTTCCTTTGAACTGTCCACTGGTGCTCATAAGAAAATTGCTCTCATTTTTTTTGTTTGCTTGTTTTTGAGGAGTATTGGACAATACTTAAAATAGCCCTATTTYATGGAATAGTATTTATGCTATTGAAGAACTCCCTATCTTAAGGTATTATTTAAATCTCTACAAGTTTGGCTTACACATGAGGTTCAGAACATGTTCAAATGCATTCTTCAGTAAACCTGGAATTMGGTTTCAACTGTAGAGAGTCAGGTCTGTGGTCAGAAGACAGCTCAGCTATACAGCCATGTATCACAATACAGTATTCTACTGCTTGGTATATTCACAGAGATGTGCAGCTGTGGTACCAGCTAAGTACTGAAGAACTAGAGCACAWGCAAGCTGCTTACTTTGGTTTTAAGGGAAGAAACAATAACAACAACAAGAAACTCAGGAATACATCTGTATTTAATGACATGACTAACATGGCGTATGATAACCAAGGCTTCTACAGGTAAGACTGTTAAAATATAGTATGTTTGAATGAGTTTGTGGAACAAATTTTAGAGGATTCCTTGAAAAGGTATTTTAAAGGAGGCCCCTGAAGAGGATGTGATGCCTGAGGGTTGCCACAGCTTGTCCTTGAATTTGCCTGTTGTTATTAATTATTATAATTAAATCTAATTGAGGAATTAATGKTGTCAAAAGGTGAGACAGCAGAGGATTGAGTGTGACCTCCCCTCTTAGAGCTGCTTCCTTCCCCAGGAGTGTCTGGTTGAGCCTGGTCTAGGGGAGAGGTTGCAGCAGATTAGCCGGAGAGAAGGCTTTAATTGTTTTTGTTCAACTTGTACTGAAGAGCAGCAGGGAAGTCCCTGCTCTGTCTTGGGGAGTGGAATCAAAGTGCAACTTGCCTTCCCTTAGGAGTCTTGGGAGTGGAGGCAGCCCCGAACACCTGGGGCTGCAGGAGGGCTCAAGGGAAGCATTAAGCATCGCTGTTCATCCCATAGGGAGCTGGGCAGCTTCCCTGAGAACTGTTTGGTTATCAGGGGGTGCAGCACAAGAACAGCAGGATCYTCATCCCCAAGGCAGCAAGAATTCCAGTGTGGGAATCCTGGCTCTGGGATAGCCCAAAGACACATCCTCACTATARTAATTATAAATAAATAATTTATTTATAATGAAATGCATCACATGCTGTGGGTTCATGGATGATGAGCACAGCACACCTTTGTGCTTGTTTAAAATCATCTCAGAATGTGTCCATGTGTGTTACACTGCCCATGATGGTGCCAACAGAAGCAAAGCAGAAAAATGAATATGTCTAAAACCTARTCGCAGTTTGGCTATTACTGTTTGTATCAAACAGTACATGTTATTGTATCTTTTACCCCCTCTGGGTTCTGCTTCATTGTTGTATACAATAACATACTGCACAGTTCTTGTTTGCTCTTAATTTACTGCTCACCTGTACAGCCTTTCTGTACAGCAGTGTCAATGATCTCTAGTGCTTACCTGCAGAAAACAATCKTATGCAGATTATAAACCTGCTTCCATGACACAGCACAGCTGGAAATCATGTTCAGATGGAGCACTGCACAAAAGGCTGATGGCTCTTTTATCAGTTTCTGGTTTTGGGTGATTTCAGGAAGATATATAATGCTAATTAAATGCTGGTTACAACCTAAACAGTTTTTAGAAGATTCAGGATGCAGTTTTTAATTTTGTGTGACTGTCAGGCTACGATTTTGTGTTTTGTGTCAGTGTAATCTGCTTTTAAAGTAGCATGGATTCACTTCTGAAGGGCTGTAAGCAGGAGTGAGTGTTTTGATGGAGCTTTAAGCTCCTCCTGGGTTCTTACCTGCACCACTCCATGAAGCAAAGACTTCTGTTTATTGARTTCTTCACACCTTTTCTTACCTGARAGTAGCAGGGAATACACCATTTGTCTGGATAAGCAGCTTCTCATTAGCCAGAAATCAAGTTTATTATTGCTTCAGAAAACTGGAGGATGTGTAAACTTCAGTAGTGAATGGCAGCAACAGGAGGAGAAAGGCCTGGGAGCTCTGCTTTTCCTAGGCTGAGTAATGAACATGCTGTGTGAAGTCCTGGTGCTCACACCCACCTCAGAGTGCAGGAGGCCCACTGGTAATCAAGGTTTGCTTATCTCCACCATGCAGAAGGGACGGGATCCTGGCTAATCACTMACCAGTTAAACCAGCTATGAGAGCAGGTGTATCAGCCTGTGCACCCTTAGCCAAAACCCTGGTTGTTTTGCATGTGGAGAGTGGCCACTGCTTCTAATAAGAGATGGAAATGGCATTGAAGGTGATTCTGAATAAAGCTGTCCTGGAATTGCCCTTGGAACAGCTGTGACCCTTCCTTATTTCTACCATGTTCCTTTTTCCTGCTCAAATAAGAGCTGTTTAATCAAGTGTTTAGTAAAAGATGCTGATTTCTACTCTCTAATWCTGTTAAATGAATATATATGCAGGGTGAGATGTGGGAATTCTGCTAACACAGTTCATGGAGACAACAAATGGCCTACCAGTTTTGTAGTTCACTTGCAAGGCTTAGTTTTTGTGTGTAGCAGATTCGGCTATGTTTCTTCATCCTATGCTTGTCCGCCTTACTGGGAACAGGAGGACAATGCAGGCACTGGGGAGGTACAGACATGAATCTGGGCTGTGCTGGGAAGGCCAGCATGAAGGGACATGTTCCCTGTCCAGGTAATTGCTGTGGCACTGCTTCCCCTCTAATGGGAGCTGGACATGTTGGCAGCCTGTGCTTGGAGGAGATCTCTAAACCTGTGGGTGTTGCTGTGATGGAGCTGTTATAGTGCCAGCTGTCCAGGGAAACAAATACAGGCCTGTRGCATGGCTGGCAAAAAGCAGCAAAACTGAGGGCAGGCAATCCCAAAGGGCAAATTCCATGTATTTCTGCATGTCAATGGTCAAGAAGAAAATGGAAAGAGTATTTAACTAAGACTCCTCAGGGAAGGTTCAGACTTGCCATCAGTAAGCATTTGTGTACCAAGAGGGTACCTGGAACAGGGTCCTGGAGAGGGTATTGGTGCCCCAAACTGTCATTGTTCAAGGGGCATTTGGGCAATGCCCTTAATAGTGAGCTTTAGTTTTTAGTCAGCCCTGAAGGGGTCAGGCAGTTGCACCCAATGATCCTAGTGTGAGTCCCTTCCAACTGGAGTATTTCAGTCTAGTGTAGTCTRGTGTAGTCTACCCTTCCTACCCTGTTCTGTCCTACTCTCTCTTGTGTCAAAGTTTCACACATTTGCAGGAATTGTCCAATGAATCACTGGATCTCTGAGCACAACAGCAATCCTACTTGGTTTTTCTACGCAGGAACTGTCCAAAGAAGCACAGGGGATGAATCCTTTYCTCCCTGCCTTTTCCAGGGTCGTGGTACATGCTGTTTTCTGCAAATCAGCCATGGGAAGTGTCTCTGCAGCCCRTTTAGAAGGGGAGGTTGAGATGAGTGGTGTCTACCTTTAAGAAAGGAGTGGGTGGAGAGCCTGACAAATTCAGTCATTTTTACGATAGCTTTTTCTTTTCTTTAAGAAAACTGTTTGGCTGCTTCTTGTAGCATGTGAAGTATCTGGAAGAGTGAGAACTTCTCCACCCTTGAAGAAGACTCTCTTGAGTATATCATGCTACTTTTCAGACTTAATTTAATAGATTCAGTGATTAGCATTCGATTCATACTTTAGGATCAAAATACTGTAAGAAGAAATAAAATAAAAAGCCCCATTCTTTCAGGTAAGGCAATATAAAATAAAAATCCTTGCAAGCAGGTAAGGTGTATRTTGACATTTACAGACACATTTAGGATTAAAGAGCTCTAACCAGTTTAAGCTGTGCCTTAGTATGCTGACAAGATCATTTTGGCTGCAATGAGGTGACACAATGTGGATGAAGAATGCTGATGTGTAGAAGTTATAAATAACRGAGAAGCCCAGCTGTGCAACAGTAGAAGCTCCATCGTGTTGTTCTGGAYGTGTCTGCCACAAAATGGGAACCTTCTCACCTCATGTTTGAGGCATAGGAACAAAGATCATRAATATGTAGTTTTGCAAGGAAATGTTGAATTTTAGTGGCAATTACTTTAATTATAATGAGCATATTCTGACTGCTTTGCTGCTTGAACAAATTGCTTTAAAATGATGAGAAATATGTGTACAAATACCAGGATCATTAACTACCGAGTGAAGTCACTGCTGATGCCACCTCTTTCATTGAATGTAAGGAATCATAATGAGTGAACATACCAGTTTTTAGCAGAAAGTCTTATATATATGAGCTGTAAATATTTACAGCATATTTGCTTTCTTAAATTATTGAAAACGCTCAATATGTTGAGCAGGGAAAAACAAGTTACAGATCATGGTGCTGCTGGGAGGGAGGTATTTCCCCACCGTTGCTTGTTACAAGTTCAGAGTAGCAGATAGCAGTTTGCTCTGTGGTACGGAGCTTTGAGCCAGATTAGCTGAAAAAAGTGTCTGTGCCTAGGGAAGGGAGATTAACTGCAGCTCTGGGCCATGTAGTTAAAGGAGAACAATGTCCATGAGCCTCCAAAGCAGTCCCCAGGAGGATTGCTGGGCAGAGGGCCTGTSAGCATGTTGGGAATAGCATTCACAGCCTGACTGCAAGACGTACCAGGATATGTCATTTTTGAGTCGATTATTTTCGGACGAAGAGTAATGCCTGGCCCTGCAGTAATTCTTTAGAGTACTTGCTTGGGCACCCAGCACCTGAGATGAGCCATCCTCTTCCATCCCAGCAAGCCACCATGTGGGAGAGCTTGCATAAGACAGACTGAGCAGGCAGATTGTCCTCTGCCCTGTGTCAGGGACAGAGTAAAATATCAGAAAAAAGAAACTTAATGGCAGCTGTCCTTCCTCTCTGCCAGCTGCTGGTAATGTTTGAGAGATGGACGTGAAAGTTACTGAGGCATTATACGAAAGAAATGGGTGTCCAAAAGAAGAGTGGGGTCAGCTGAATGCCGGCAGGGGTAATGCTCACCCACTGCTCAGAGTCAGCTATAGCTGCTTCACAGGTGAAGGTGTTCCAGGGCTTGACAGCCCTTTCTGTGAGGAATTTTTTCCTTATAKCCAACCTAAAATTTCCCCAAATTGACAGAGCTTAAAAACTGCCTTTAGTTTTCAGCTAGCAAGCAAAACTTCACAGCAAACAGTGCAATGGCCTCAGCAGAGCAGATGCTCTAGGAAAAKAGGGTTAAAATACAGGGTGAGGAAATGCACATAAGCAATTGCTCTGATAAACATCATTGCTAGATTTTAAATCTGTGAAGAATTATCCTATCCTGCTGTAATGTACATCAGTTAAATTTTAAGCATGTATGCAGGGAAGGAGCTGTCCTGTGCTTGTTTTAGTAGTTTGTAGCATTTTCACTTGTTCTTTAGGTGCAAGCCATCAGCTCCATAAAAAACAAAAGGAAATGCAAGTGTTCTGCAAGCAGAAATTGGAGCCTGAGTCCAATTGT